TGCCAACCCGCATTTAGACACGCCCACTCCAGCTGGGTCAGCGGGCGGCGGGCATTGGGAGGGAGATAGAAAAATGTTGCCTCGGCGACAACTTCCGCCTAACTGCACTTCAACATGTCAATTTTTCTTGTCCCCACCGCCCAGATGGATGGATATGGATACAAAAAAAAAAAAAAAATAATAAAAAAGGACAGAAAAATCAACCCTCTAACCGAAACGCCTACGAAAAATGGCATTCGAGAGGAAAACTCAGAGCTCAACTTGCATGTGAGTGCTGGCATTTTTCCTCTTTCGGCCGCACTCCCCAAGTCACTTGTCATGGAGGCCTTTTGTCTGCCGAAAAGCTTTAAATCATAAACACCTTGTTAGTGCAACAACTCGACACTTTGAACGTGACATTGATGCCTGTTTTTGTGCCGGCACCGAAGCCCAAAACAGTTTCCGTGTCTCAAGCATCGAAAAAACAAGCGAACTCCGGCCGGAAGGTTGGGTTTTCGATGTGGATGTGGCTGAGCATGTGGATGTGGATGTGGATGTGGCCGTGGTGAGCCCGAGGTGATGGTGCTTCCATGTGCAACTTCCTGCCGATAACCTTTTGCACACACACACACAAACACATGCCACAAAAGCCGTCGCCATCGTGTTGGCCTTATCGCTCTACTCTTGGCCATGGAGCACAGGCAAATGCAGACATCAGCAGAACCATGACTCCGGACCAGACACTCGCCCTTAATTAGCCAACGAAACCTGGAGAGTCGGGTTAAGGTTCGGCTTAAAGTTGGCGGTACAGCAGGTTTAACATGCAAATTAAAAATTTACTTAAATTAGGAAAACCCTTTAAAAATTTCTAAATAATTTGCATGTAAAAAGTGTTCTGCAACAAGTATTTTAGCTCCTCTTAAAAACCTTTTTTTTATATTTCCCAGTGACAGCAACATTTTAGAGTACTAACCCTTTAGGGCCGCACACGAGTTGTCTGGCTTTGACCCAAAATAGACACATGTCAAAGGTTTTCAAACGTTGCAAATTAGTGAGCATTAGAGTTCGGAATAAAAATGCGAAACAAAAGGATCATCGGTAGATTTCGACTGACAAGCCGAGTGGCAGAAGCACTTTGAAACAAATATGTTATGTCGTTTGTCCATTTGAGAGAGAGAGAGAGTCAGTTTGAGTATTAATGTGTGTGTGTGTGTGTTTGGCCCATTTGAAGTGTGTCAGTTGTGTTTTGGCCCTTTGTATGTGCATTTGACAGAGCTTTGAGTTTGAATAGGGCCACAGGCATTATGGCCAAATTCCAGACCCAAGACTTGCCATTACGAAAATTACAGCAATTTAATCAAAATGCCTGTTCGAATGACGTAAATTATAAGTCATATCATTAGAGTTCAATGGACCTATCAAAGAAATTTGGTAAGTAATTACAGGACATTCTAATGAAAGAGTGAAATTTGGAAGGAAATATATACTTAAATAAGGAGTAATATTTTCAACTTTTTTTATCAAATTTTTTAGGAAGTTTTCATGAAGTTGTTCTTTATTTTAAAGCCAGTTTCGAACCTGTTTCTCTGTAATCAAAGTTCAAAAAGGATCTCCCACACACACACACACACACTGTTACACCCACAGCCGCCACTCATACATATGTGCATTCAAAATGGCCGCCACGTTACTTCCGCTAAGTGCCGGAGCCTTTTGGTCCATTCACTGTTTGCTCTTGGCCATCAAAGCTTTGGGGGACAAAACTTTTCAGCTTTTTTATTTTTTCGCAGCTTGTTGTCCCTGCCGCTGCTGTTTTTTCACCACTTTTTTTTTTTCGTTTTCGGGCTTTATTTCGCATAATTTTTGCGCCTTTGTGCGAATTCTCGGGGCGGTGGAGCCTTTGACGCCTTTTGAAAGGCAGTCACCTGGGTTTTTGCCTCCTTTTTGTTATGTGTCCCATGTGTGTGTGTGTATTCTCTAATTGTTTGTTTGTTTGCTCGCTCACTCTTATTTACTCCCCGTCCGTCGCCTTTTGTTTAGTTTTTACGTCTGGCCAAATCCGTAAAGCAGCTCGTAAAGTTAAGCAACAACAATAAAGCACGAAGAGCAACAACTAAATAAGGCATATGGCCAACAACAATGGCGCCCCGCTCTTAACTTGTATTTATATATCTTCATGTTCGGGCTTAGTTTTTCCTTTTTTTTCCTTCCAACCTCCATCCTCCATGCGCCTTGCCGTTCAAGCCGTTTGTTGTTGTTCCTCTTATATATATATATTCGTTTTTTTTTTTTTCGAGGCTCAGACAACTTAATGCTATTTGCTCCACACAAACACACCTTGAAGTCCTCGAGCTTCTGCCTGCTTTTGTTTGGAGTTTTTAACAACTTAAGCACGTCGTCGGTATTGGTTTTTCCAGCCGCCTTCTCTCACTCGCTTTCCCACCGATTTCCCACCGACTACATTTTCCTAGTTATATTTTTTCTACTTCCTGCCTTTGCCTTTGTGAAAATAATCACGCGCGCGCTTTTGAGTGAGCAGCCCCTGGATGGGTGGTGGCCCCCTAGTTTTTCTTTCCTTTCCGGATTTTCCTTTGCTTTTTCACACTTGGTTACTTCCGGCGCGATGGCTGAGCAAATAGTGTGTAAGGCGCATCTATTGTTTTCTTTTAATTTGCCCAGACATGTCAAATGTGGAGGATCTTTCTGTCGATGAGTTTTTTAAGATATTCTTGGGTATATGACTTCCTTATGGCTGCTTTAATGTAGAAAAGGATATTTCTGTTTCCAAAAATACTTTATAAATTAATTTTTCTCCACCTTTTCCCTTATATTTTTAGCCAGCATTCACCATTTGATTGATTCGCTTTATCAAACGGTTTCTGCTCTCAATTATTTATGTTATATTTGCCAAACAGAAACCAATCAGGAGCACTAAGTGCCCACATAGTCACCTGTCGGGTAGGTGAGTTTGCCAGCTGTCTTCTGCGAGTGGCAAACCTATTAACTTTTCTCTCCCTTTTCCCTTCTAACCATTTTCCCCATGTCCCTCTGCAAGGACATTTATCGCAGCAGAGTGTGAGTGTGTGTGTGTGTGTGTGTGTTGGTGGGGGGGAACACTTTGTTGCTTAATTGATTTTAATACAAGTACCCCGCTCCTTTTCGCCATCGGTCCTCAAGTGAGTCGTTCGCTTTCATAGTTCGAGTTCGAGTCTATAAATTGGCTTTTTCCTTTCCCTTTTTGCAGATGCAGCAGCAGCTGCCTGTCCATTTCCCATTTCCATTTCCGTTTGCAATTGCAGAGAGCCCAGGCCAAGGATGAAGTACAAGAAGAAATTGGAGTTGACTGGGCTAGTGGAAGGGGCGGGGAGGCGGTGGGTCCAAAGGGGGCACACAGGCAACAGCAAAGGAAAAGGCAAAGAAAGTAGAAATGCCATTTATTGAATTGTATAAATTTCTATACATTGACAGCGACTGTTTATTCTGCCCAGCCAACTGTTCATGTGTGTGTGTGTGTGTGGGTTCCACTTTTTCTTACTGGTTTACACAGTGAGAAAAACAAGAGACTAGTCATAGTTCTTGACAAAAAGGATAATGTAACTCTAAAAGTTAAGAGCTCATTAATAAAATTGAAGCATACTTCTCAGCATTTTAAAAATTCATAAAAATCATATTCAGCTTAATCAGCAAACCACTTAAATTGGAAACTACTGAAAGAAGTTTCAGTGTACAAGGGTACTTGGGGTGTGTGTTTTGTTAAGCTTTATCGCATTTGCATGGCAAAAGTCTCAGGCGGAATGGGAGTAGGGTCAAGTGCCCGTTCCCGCCCTCGGGTCACTCATTTGTTCTTTTGATTGCAGAGGGTTTTTGCTCGTTGGCCGAGCTTTTGTTGTATTAGTAAAATAAATTACCATTTAGTGCTTTTTGCCACTTGCACACTCACACAAAGAAGTAGTCCCAACACATATATACAAATACAAGAACCCTTTGGCTGTCACACATGGTCGAGTGTTGTCCTTTGGCTTGCAAATGAAATTATTGCCAGGGCTTTTGCATCCGCTGGTTTGCTGGATTATAAGCCACCATCTGTAGCTGTATGGGGTAGGAGTTTCCCATCTGTATGTACACATGTGTGTGTGTGTGCTTTACCCTACTGGCAAGTGCAGGCCATAATAAATTGCTAGCAATCGCATTTCCGTTTCTTTATGCGCTTCGATTACGTTGCGCTTTACTTGCGCCAATTCTTTTCCTCCTTTCCCCCTCGTAATTGAATATATAATTTTTTGTTCCCTCTTCCCACACACACTCGTACACAAAGAGACTCGCTCACACATACACATGATTCGCCGCCTGCCATTTGAATATAAATTGTTTTATCTGCTTCTGAAAAATATTCATTTCAATTTATTTTACTTTTCTTCATTTGATGCGATTGCTTCGCCTTCCTGCTCTTTTTACGATTTTCTTTTTCTTTTTGTTTATTAAATAAATTATTTATGCATTGTCATTTGGAGTCATCCGACTTGCCGTTCCCTATGAGCACACGCCGCTAAGTATGCAAGCATTTTGTTGTTTACAAATTCAGGATTACTTTGTGGAGATTTTTTAGGGGGACTTTTTAGGGACACTTTTTATACATTAAACAGCTGCGACGACTTTGATAACTCAAGAGTTGGAAATCAACTTCCTGAGCCCATAAATTACACAATTCCAGGGTATATTTAGGATATCATAAATAAAAAAATAAAATAAATACAAATTTTCCAAGGGAAATGTTAGATATTTCTATTTATATGATGAAGAAATGTTATTTGTTCCATTTTTGAACAGCTTATTATCCCCTCTCGAAAAAGGAAACATCAAAGTTGGTATCTTATATTCCACACCCTACTTGGAAATAAATCTGAACTCTCTTGTTTGCTTAACTTTGTGGTTCTAAGCCGAAGATATGGCCCAAGAACATGAGCAAATTTAACTTTTGACTTTTATACTCATCCCCGAATTCTATTTACTTTTCTTTGCAGTGCCAAGCAAGCCCCAGAATCTCACCATCTTGGATGTGTCGGCCAGCAGTATCACGATGTCCTGGCATCCACCGAAGAACCAGAACGGAGCCATCGCCGGCTACCATGTTTTCCACATCCACGACAATCAAACGGGCGTGGAAATCGTGAAGAACTCTCGCAATTCAGTGGAAACCCTTATACACTTTGAGCTGCAGAATCTACGTAAGTTCTATTATATTTTTTGAAAATTTTCCACAAATTTATTGATGAGCTGAAGGTTCAATAGGCTTTTAATTCATTTACCTTCATTGGTCGATAAAATTTTGCAATTTCGAACTTCTCGTCCGATCAAAGGATTTTTCAAGTTGTCCTCGTCGATTTGTGACCCCCGTCAACTTCAGAGCTCGTCATCAAACTGTCAACAGTCGAACGCCCACGTTGTGAAAAGGCGCGCATACTTTCCCACCCACTCCGCGAATGGAAATGGAAAACCCCTTGAACCTGGCCAAGGACCTATTATTACCTCTAATTGAGGCCCCAGTCAAATTGTTTGCCAGCTGCTTTGTAATTAAATAGTTTCAAGTGCTCGCTGCCACTCGCTTGCCACTTTCTGTTTGCCAACAACTTTTGACGCTTATAATTGTACACCCCAAAGTCGGCTAATTTTCCTGATTAAGGCGTGAGGTGTGTCTTTCTGGGCTAGAGAACACCATCCGCCTTTAGAAGAAGATGGAGAAGAAGAAGCTACTTAGCGATGCTACCAGAAAACTGGCAGAGTTTTTGGAGGTTTTTAGAGACGCCCCTCGAGCCATGCAATTAACTTGCTACAAAGTTATGCGCCGCATTCCACATTCTCGTGCAGCCACATTGTTTAATTTAATTACACGACTCAGGATGCAAGATGCAGGATACGGGATGCAGGATGCATCTCACCTTCAGCTAACTTCGACGATGCCACGCTGCACGGAAATTCCAAGGGATCTCCTCCTTTTGCGGCATGCTGGCTTTATTTCCCTGGGCCGCCGCCATGGCAACGTTTAATTATTTCCAAATTTAATCCAAGTAGATGTCAGCAGTTTCTCTTGTTAATTAAATCCAATTTAAGCTGACAGCACCGCTTGAAGGACTCCCTGTTCTTTTTTGTTCCTCTCCCCGTGCATGAAAAATCAATTCATTGTTATTGTTGCCACTGTCGCATGCATTTTCCGCGGGCAAAATTTAATTATAAAGCCGAACGGAAACCGCGGTCCTGTTTTCCCTTCTTTCGCGTCCAGTGACATGCGGTGACGTTTCTCATAATGACCAGGCAGAAGATGCCCGCGTGCCGCTCAGTTTAAGGTGGCAAGGGGCGTGGCAGGTGCTCTATATATATTCCCGGGAAAACAACTGACATCCGCTGGAAGTATTTACGACCAATAAAAGCCTCAGCTGTCGCATCAAAACGTCCTCTCAACAAGGAATAAAGCGAATTAAAGGGTCACAAAGTAAAGATTTTCACTCATTTATCGAAAATAAAGTTCAGTCAACTTATAGGCAAAGTTTCTGGGAGAGTATCTACTAGATCGATCAAATATCTATAACTTAAGACATTTCCCACTCTATAAGTGCCTACTAACCTATTAAATATTCATTGCAGGACCCTACACTGATTACCGCGTGATAGTAAAGGCATTTACCACCAAAAACGAGGGCGAGCCCTCCGATCAGATTGCCCAGAGGACAGATGTCGGAGGTCCCAGTGCCCCGGCGATTGTGAACCTCACTTGCCACTCCCAGGAATCCATCACCATTCGCTGGCGAAGACCCTACGAGTTCTACAACACCATTGACTTCTACATAATCAAAACGAGGCTGGCTGGACAGGATACGCACAGGGATATAAGGATCAATGCCTCGGCAAAGGAGCTGGAAACTGCGGTGAGTTACAAGTTTTAAAAATATTTGGCTGCGAGAAGGATATTTTTCAATACTAAAGTGGATTTTTCTGCCTGTTTTGCCATAAAAAGTCTAATTTACAAAAAGTTTTAGAAAATAAATCCCTCTGGAGTCTGGCGGTAATATTTCATTCGCAGGTTTTCTATAAAATAGAAGTATTTTCCGCGCTGTTAGCAAGCATTTTATTGGCCTGCCAAGTTGGCAACATTGTTGTCCGCCTTGTGATATGTCAATCGAGTCGGCTTATCGCGGCCATTTGGCCCGGTCGGTGCCCCATAAAAAAGGAAAATTTCTATGATAAACTGCCTAATACAGACAGATATTCAGGCGGGGAACCAAAACTAAAGTAAAAAGTAAAAAAAATAAAAATCCAGCGGTAATAATTGCATTTTTATGCAGCAAACAACACAAACGGCATACAGAACAGCCCACCTGCCACGGCACCTGTAAATATTTTATAAAAAATGTTCTATACCCAAAAATGCACACACACGGGATGCATACTTTTCCGCTGCATCGCAACCACACATATACAGGCAGCACACGTGAAAATCCGCCCACCTGCGAAAATAAATTAAATTTATGTTGTTTTTCCTGTCCGCCTTTGTGCCGCGTCTTCCCTTTTTATTTAGCGCCCCAAAAACTAAATAAATAAAAGTAAAAAATAAAAGTTTGTCGTGGGGAATGCGGCGAGGCAAACAAATTTCCCAACAATAAAATGTTATCATACACATAGCTGACTTTTTCCATATCTGAAACTAGTTTGGCTCTTGTTTCGTCCTGTATTTTTATATTTTTTTTGTTTTGGTCCTTCCCCTCTGAAATCCTGTATCTTTTTGGGATCCCTGTGTCGCCTCGCTTTTGTTTTTTAGCCAGTTGAAAATATTTTTGTAATTGAAATATTTTGTAGCGGCAAACAAGCTTTTTGTTGAACAACTAAACAACAGAAATGGCAATAATTTTAGCTTTGTTTTTCATTGTTAGTCTGCGAATATGAATGCCAAATATTTAGCTTTTCCTGGGAAGGGGACAGAACTCTGTTAAAGTTAGCTGAAAACTAAATTAGAAAATATCCCAGCTCTCAAAGCCATCCTCGGCTTAGATAAACTGTCGAACTAATATGGTTAGATATATGCACATCATGTTGACTTTAACAAAAGAAAATCTTAAATAGACAAACAATAAACTACGAAAACTAAGTTAAACAGAGTTACGACTACGTTTTCTTTTATTAAAATAAACATTTCTTTCAAGGAAAAACTCCTTACTAATACTCTTGTCTTTCCTTTCAGATGATTCTACAAAATCTAACAACCAACTCGTACTACGAGGTCAAAGTGGCAGCGGCAACGTTCAGTGTCATAAATCCAAAGAAAATTGTGTTGGGCAAATTTTCGGAGTCAAGGATTGTAAGTAGCGCATAAAGATATCAAATGCAACCCACAGGACAGACCAACACCTGCCACAAGGCGGAAAAACTTGGCATTTTGTTGCGGGGCGGGCCCCAAATGCAGGGCGGAGATATAAGACAGAGGGCGTGGCATGCCATAAAGTTGGCATCCTCGCCGTTGTCAGTTTCCATATCAGATTACATGTCCAAAAAGGAAGCAGGCTGCTCCTTTTTTCTGCTTGTTTCCTACACAAAAGTTATTTAGTTGCAAAAATTCTCCTGTCTTGGGGAAAATATTCTAATAGTGTGCACTGTAGGGAAGGATCTTTGACTTGTGTTTCTATGCATTATTGAGTTCTTAGCTAGTGGACCCCGGGGCGTATGCGTAATGAGAGGCTTATGCGCATTTAATAAGCCCGCAACAACAATGAACTTCATCAACCACTCAATTTTGCCAGGCACTTAGAGAAATAATGGGAAAGCATATAAAAGATTCACTATCAATATTTGCAAGCTACCGAATGACATTAAATCCAATCTTGAATGTCCTGGCAATCCTAAGAAAACATTTCAATCAACCTCCCTTTAAGATCCAAAAATAAAGAAGACTTCTGTTATTGTTTTTTCCTGTGCATCTGCGTTTATTGACATTTGGACCCGCACAGCAACTCCTTCAACCTGTCATAACAACATCCTTAATGATTTTCCACACAAACGCAGACACACACACACACACACACTCACTCACACACCGCAAACTTTGTTGCATGCATAAAATATAATCCAAAGTTGTGGCAGAAATATAGCAATTTAGTTGACCTCAAGTCTTTGGGCATGGGGATGGGGCCCGAAAGGGGAAGGCAGCCGCAGCGACACGCCCTCATAAGTATGCAGCAATATTTTTTGTTGCTCTTGTTCTCTCCCTCTCTCTTGCTCTCCCTCCCTCTCTCACTCATTCATAATTCATTGCCATTGTTGTTGCTGCTGCTGCTGCTGCTGATGTTGTTATTGTTGTTTTTGTCGGACTGCCTGAATTTCAAGTGGCCTGCACCTTTTGGCCGCATTTACATGGCCCGCTGCCATTTTCCGCCCGGCGCACACAAACGTCCCCATATCCCTGCAAAAACGGCGCTCATTTAAATCCTTTCTTTTTTCGGGTGGCAGCAAAAATCTTATGCAAAAAGCGGAAATAAACAAGCGCAAATAAAGAGTGCGCGAAAAGCAAACAAAGGGAGCAAAAATCAACAAAAATAAAGCTCGAATATAATGATAACAGAGGCACACACACATTTGTAACGCATACACTTCATGTCAGTACAGTGAGGCAAAAGTACAGCAAAAACGAAATATATATTTTGATATGATGAAAGCAACATCTCTTTAGGTCTTAAAACATAAACCACTTTTTTGAATAATATTTAAAAGATTTTTGTTTATCGAATGTAAAATCTACAAACTCTAAATGAATTTCATCAACTAACTTAATATACCGGAAACGGAAAGTATTTAATGTTATAACAAGCAGAATCAACCTTGTCAAGTGCTAATCCAAATGTTTCACTTATGCAATACTTAGATTGCTATATATAGACCTTTCGTTCGAAACAAATCCATCCAGCAACCGCATCAAAATGAAGCTCTTACTTTCTACTCTGGCTGTTCTGTTTATCATAGTGCCACACCCTAATGCCAAGTATCCCAACAATAAGTACTTTCCCCTTCCCAAGGCCAACACCACAAGGATAGGATCGGAAATGTTGTATAAAATAATAAACTTCTTTTACTGACTAAAATCTTTTATAAACCAAACAATTTAATAAGGGGATACAACTACGAAATCAGTCATAGGAAGGAATACCTTATTTTATGTAAGATTCCCTCTACAAACCATAGCTAAAAGGCATTACTATTTCCAAATTGATTAGGGCTTCTAAAATTTCCTTTATATAAAGGGTTTATGTTTCTGACTTAATAGAAATATATTACAAAATACACATAACTAAAAAATACAACTTTGGTTTTAATATTTTTGATCATTTTAAGCAAAGCTTAAACTTTTCTAAAATCGATTTTCTCTCCAAACAGATTCAACTGCAACCGAATTGCGAGAAACTGCAGCCGCTGCTGCGCCAATCGCATAATGATTACAACCTGGCAGTTTTGGTGGGCATTATCTTCAGCTGCTTCGGCATCATCCTGATCATCATGGCCTTCTTCCTGTGGAGGTAAGTGGCGCTCTATGCTCTTTGGCCCCCATTTAGTAGTAATTTCAGTATTAAATCCAAAAATAAACATATAAGAAGAAACAAGTGCTGAGGTAGCAGCTGCTTTTCTTGAGACAGTCGCGTGCAGTTCCATAAATAAAACTGAGGAAACTGAGGAAAAGTGTTGTCAAAGTGTTGAGTGCAAAGCGCTGTCCACCCACTCCCTGCGACGGAATTTAAAAATAACCCAAGTCGACCCGTTGCAGCAATAGGAAAATATGTTTTCAAAAATAGTAGCGAAACAAATAAAATTCTCAGAATTTATCCGAATGAATTTAAATCGTTTCGGGTTATTAATATAATTTTCCACGCTGTCCCCTTGTTCTGTAAATTATCCGTGAGGCGTAGCTAACTTCATTAGAGAGCGCACTTAACCAATTATGGTCTCTATGACTTCAGAGCTAACAAAAAACAGTACAGAAATCCTTTTGCAATGTCCTTTCGTACCAATCCATAATTAAGGAAATAACTCGAGCATATCTATCTGCTTTTTTGCCCTCAAAACGGCAGAAACCAGATACCACAAACTTGAAAGGGGAGGTGGGCCGTCCTCATATTCCCTGGAAATGTTAATTAAAATTCAAATCGCAAAAAAAGAAAGCACGAGAGTCCGAGGCGAAGCCAAAGACAAAGACAAGCAAAACAATTTTAAGTTACTTAAAATCTTTATTAAATGTAAAAGTGGTTAACCCATTGCCCAGACCCCAATTGAATCCCCTGCCCCCCGTATCCCAAACCCGATCCCAATTCGCATTTGCCGGAGGCAACGGAGGCAAACATTTGAGACGACAAAATGTGTTGGGGAAAATGAAAAGCGTTTTTATACCCAACTTCAATGGAAAGAATTTTGCATATTTTCTGTCGAAGCGATTTTTTATGCTGCCGCGAATATGCCAAATGAAAGTTACCCCCATCCTTACCCCTTCTCGGGTTCCCTAACAAATTAATGCCATTTTATTTATTTTTTACAAATACCCCGAGCAGAGCTCTGAGCAGAACGCATAACAGCGTGAGAGGAGATGGAAAAGCCGAGGTTGGAGTGTTGCCATCCCATTTTTCAAGTTACCCAAGTTTTAGAGCGGAAAAAATTATATTTTATTAAGCAAACAAAGGCGAATTTCTACAATTTCCTTTTCAATGCAAACAAATATAAAGTGGGGAGCGGGTTGGCTGTAGCCAGAACAAAAGTCAGGGAGAATATGAAGAAGAAAAAAAAGTAACCGAGAAAAACCAAGGGAAACAAGAAAAAAGGGTTTTCCGTTTTATGTGAGGCGAGAGAAAAATCTTGTGGCAGAACTCAATTCGCGGCTCTTGGCGAAATCATTTACATTTACATTTACTTTTGCATTTACAGAGCACTAATCAGCGTTTAGTGGCAGCCACTGTGGCAGCTTGAATGGCAAAAAGTCAAGGGGCGTGGAAGTTATTTTAATAACTGCTGAACTGCTGCCGCGGCTTGCGGCAGGTTAACTAAGTCCTAGCCACACACTAGAAAACCAACTAGAAACTTGTGCGCCAACCAGAAATACTTTTGCAATTTCTTATGGCAACAATTTGCTGGCAACAGCAACGATAACCATCTCTTGACTAACTTTTTTGCAGAGAAAGGGCTGAAATAGTTAAGCGAATAACTTACTTGTGATAGAATAAATCATTATCTAGAGTTCACAACCTAAGGTGTATCATACTTGGTACTTATTTTCTACACCCTTTTATATAATATTAAGGTCGAAAGAAGAAAGAATTCAAATATTTCTAACTAAAAGGGTATCTAAGTTTCACTCTTTCCCAAAACTGAGTTCAATATTATTTTCCATTTGCATTCCAACACCGAAATAGAAAAGGCAAAAGACAGCAGGCAGAAGCAAAAGCAGAAGGAGAACACTTTTCCCCTCTATCTGGGCCTCACCGTATGTCGACTTGTGTGTTACTTTTTCATATCTGATGCAGTTGGGAACATTGTTTTTGTGTCGACGGCTTTATTTGCCAGCCAATGTGTGTGCTCGTGTCTGGTTTTTCCTATAGAACTTTTCCCTATGCCAAAAATAGAAAGGCAAAGAGTCCAACAAGAAATTGTTTTTGGTCAACGCATTGGTAACTTTTGCCAAAAAAGTTCCATTTCATGACAGCCATGTTGAGGGGCAGGTTCCCCCCTCAGTGTTACCAATTTTCCTACCCCTGTATATTGACTTTATCAACGATATCAATGAACCAAATACCAACGTTATCAGCGCTTTTCCAAGGGTACATTTCTCCCAATGCAAGTTTTATTGCGGAAGTTGTCTGGCCCAATCGAACGATTAACAAACATCGATTCCCAATAAGGCAGTAGATATTTTTTAATTGATTAATTGATGAGCCATGGGGCTAGGCAGCAACAATAGCAAACAAACAACAGTAGACTTAATTAAGCAAACTTGGAGAGAGAAAACAGTGCATTAAAATTGTAAAAAATATATGCAGCTGCAAAGGTTAAATCAATGTCATATGTTGATAAGATAAGTACCAGGATTATACAGTAACTCAATGGGAAATGTCACAGTGGAAAGTGCCTAATGGGAAGAATGCCATAAAAAGTGACTCATAAAATAAACTATTAATTTGGTTTAACTTTAAAGCTATATATTCTCATATCTGTAAAACAGATTTATAGGTTTTTGGTTGTGCTAAAAAGTTTTCATTTTTAAACCACATTCATACTTAACCCATTATTACTGTAGCAAAGAAGGCAGGGCAAACTGGATTTCAGCGAGTGCTAGTAAAAACGTGCCAGTGTTGTTATCAAACAGCTGACGCAAAGCTCTCAAAGCTCGCTCTTTGCCTATATCTCTCAGTCGGGTTAAAGATCGGGGAACTGGGGAAAGCTCTGGCACCGCGCTGATCGCCAATTGACAAGACTTTTCATTTGTCCAAAGCACGCGCGGTCATAAGCACGTTAACTTCAAGATTTTTCTGCGCCGCCAAGCCATCGACAAATAAAATAAAAACAATAATAATAAACCTTATCACCAAGCAACTTCGAGAGAGAGAGAGAGCAAAGAAGGCGATAAGTGACAAGAGGCACCTGCTAACATATTCCGTTCTTCATTGTGAAAACGTCACAACGGCTGCCCCATTGAATACGTTTATGCCACAGTGCGGGTCCGTAGTTATTGCGTACTATTTTTGCAAGTGAACTGGCGACATTGCTGTTGCCAATATGACGTAATTTGTGTAAATATGTGAGCAAAAGTCGCGAAAACACATTGGGAAACGAGCAATGCAATTCTAGCGAAGCGCCACATTATGTCAGGTGGCAGGGAAAAGCGCTGCAGCAGCCCCATGCTACCAGCAACATCAGAAATTGCAAGTGCAACAGCAACAGCAACAGCGTCAACGCCAAGGCTGTTGCGCCGTAAATCGCAGCGTGGAAATTGGTTTACGTAAGTTTTTCGCAGCTGCACCCCCGGGAAAATGATCGCCGCACACGTCACGTGTTTGCCAAACAAAAATCAGAAAAAAAAGATATGAAACAACCCAAAAGGCAGGTTGCATGCGACAATATCAAATGGCTGGCAACTTCGAGCGGAAGTTGACAAATATAAATAAATAAATAAATACGCTTTTTGGTGCGTAATAGAGGGGCAAGAAAAACAAGAGTCTCCGTCGATAAACAACAACAGCAACTGAAATCAAGAAAAACATATGTAAATATATGTGCATACATAGAGGAAAGGAATTTCTTATTTTCTAGTTGGTTTTCCCCCAATTTAGGTATTTATTTACTTTTTTTCAACGACGGCAAAAGTAAACAAACTCGAATCGCCATCTCCCGTTGATAAGAATTATTGAAATAATTATCAAAGTTCTCGATTCTCGTTTCTCGATTCCCCAGAGAGTTTTGTTTATGCTGCCAAACTTCGTAGAGTAAACAAGAAACGAATTCCGCCGAATTTCTTACAGCGACAGATCAGTATCGCTTTCAATATATATGTTTATATATTATAATAGAAAATAAAAAGCAAATTTTGGGAAATCAACTTTTTATCAGTGCTTTCAAAGTAGCCATTGGGTTCCGGCTGGGCGAGAGGAATCACTTCTCGATAAGAAGTCTTAGATTTTTAATGGATTTATTAAAGCTTGGAATTTCTGCAAATATTTTTAAACCTTCTTATCAAAAGTCTAAGAGTTGTTTGAGATTTTTTTAAATATTTTTAAAAAAGTACAGTCAAGTGCTCAGGGTACAGCTTAAACTTTTTGTAATCAAGAACTCTAAAAGAAAAGGTTTAAATCAAACTAGAAAAACCTTTAAGAATAGTTTCCCTTAAAGAAAACCTATCACAGCTATGTACTTTACATTGAGAAATCGATTGTCCATCAATACAAGGACTCAGATCAAGATTATTTCCGCAATACTTCTTGGGAAAGTGCAACGAGCCACAACAATGCGAAACAGAAGGAAAAGTTGGCAGTACAGTCTGGACCACTCAATTTCCATTATGTCGTGCACTTTCTCCCAAGGCAGCGAAATCCCGCAATAAAATCAGCAACAGCGAGTGGAAAACTTTGCTGGTAAGTTGCCAAGTTTTGCTGGTTAGTCGAGTGCACTTGTAGGCGAAACTTGGTGCAAAGTTCTGGTACTGGGCTCCTTGTAATCGCTTAAGCCAATTACAAGAACTTAACCTCAATTTGTGTATAGAAATTGAACAGGCAATAATGTCCACCTTTTCTCGTTATTGTCACTCATTTAAAGCAGCTTTGGGCAAATATTTGCACAGTTCCTACTTCTTGTATGAGCTTCCTGCCAAAGGAATCCACAGACTGTCACAAAATTCAAAATTACTTCCTTCTGCCTGGGTGGAACTGAATGCCATTAGCACTGACCTGACCAACCACCCACTTTCTGTTATCTATCCACCAGGGCAGCATTTTCACCTGCTCTGCTCTTCGGCCACCTGCTTATTTATGCATTTTGATTTTGTTAAGACCTCTCCTCTTGGCCACGGCCACGCCCATCTGACACCTTTCGCTGATTTCGCTCTAACTGATTGCAGCTGTTTCATAATTTCCACAGTTCACAACTTTTGCAAAGAAAATTATTTTGCCTGCGTTAAATAGAATTTGCACTCCTTTCAAAGTAGCCTGTCATTTGAGAGGCAACGGGAAAAGGATACTTTTGTGACTGGTCAGTGGGAATTCTGCTCTAGTTGCTGCTGCCACACCTAATAGGATTGGGCTTAAAGAGGACTGGACACCTTCTACAGCAAGAGTTCAGTTAGCTGAATATATATTTTGATATATAGGTTAATAAGGATGGAGAACTCTTAGACTTTGTCATTGAGTGGAGAGACGAAAGTTGTCTTTTAATTAAAGGAATTTATATTAAGTAGTGGCAAGAAAGCAAACTCATTCAACATTCTGACAAATGCAATTTTGAATAATCTTTCTTTATTCTACAAGCGAACATTCAGATTTCTTACGTATATATCCATAAATATTTTCTATCAACAACCCTTTGTAACACTCGAACTTTCCTTAACCTCTTTTCAGCAGAAAGTGCTTCCATGCCGCCTACTACTACCTGGATGACCCGCCACACCATCCGAATGCCCCCCAAGTGGACTGGGAAGTGCCCGTGAAGATCGGCGATGAAATCCGAGCAGCTGTGCCCGTGAATGAGTTTGCCAAGCACGTGGCCTCCCTGCATGCTGATGGGGACATTGGATTCAGTCGGGAATACGAGGCCATCCAGAACGAGTGCATCAGCGATGATCTGCCCTGTGAGCACTCCCAGCATCCGGAGAACAAACGGAAGAATCGCTATCTCAACATCACAGCCTGTGAGTCAAAGTTACATAAATCAAAGGGAAAAGCCATTTCAGTTTTTATGACAACCACCTATTGAACAGCAGTTAAAATTTAATGGCTTCTACTCGAGAAATAATGATCCCTCGCTAATTGAGAATTTATTTCTAACACGCAGATGATCACAGTCGGGTGCACTTGCATCCCACACCTGGCCAGAAGAAGAACCTGGACTACATCAATGCCAACTTCATCGATGGCTACCAGAAGGGACATGCCTTCATTGGAACCCAGGGGCCCTTGCCCGACACCTTCGATTGTTTCTGGCGGATGATCTGGGAGCAGCGAGTGGCCATCATAGTGATGATCACCAACCTTGTGGAGCGCGGCAGACGCAAGTGCGACATGTATTGGCCGAAGGATGGAGTTGAGACCTACGGAGTGATCCAGGTCAAGCTTATCGAGGAGGAAGTGATGTCCACCTACACGGTCCGCACTCTGCAGATCAAACACTTGAAGGTGGGATTAACTTCGTTTATCTCATTAGTTTCTTTAACTAACTGTTATTTGTTTTAACCCCCAGCTCAAGAAGAAGAAGCAGTGCAATACTGAGAAGCTTGTCTACCAATATCACTATACCAACTGGCCCGATCACGGAACCCCCGACCATCCTCTTCCCGTGCTGAACTTTGTCAAGAAATCCTCCGCTGCCAACCCCGCAGAGGCTGGTCCTATAGTCGTGCACTGCAGGTGGGTTAATACCTCGATTTAACTAACTTAAAGGAATTAACTAACATTTCTGATCTTCTTATAGCGCTGGCGTTGGACGCACAGGAACCTACATCGTCCTGGATGCCATGCTTAAGCAAATCCAACAGAAATCGATTGTGAACGTCTTTGGATTCCTGCGTCACATTCGAGCCCAGAGGAACTTCCTGGTCCAAACCGAGGAGCAGTACATATTCCTCCATGACGCTCTGGTGGAGGCCATAGCCTCTGGGGAGACCAATCTGATGGCCGAGCAGGTGGAGGAGCTGAAGAACTGCACTCCCTACTTGGAGCAGCAGTACAAGAACATCATCCAGTTCCAGCCAAAGGACATTCACATTGCCTCCGCCATGAAGCAGGTGAACTCGATCAAGAACCGCGGAGCCATCTTCCCCATCGAGGGCAGTCGGGTGCACTTGACCCCAAGCCGGGCGAGGATGGCAGCGACTATATCAATGCCTCCTGGCTACATGGCTTCAGGAGATTGAGGGACTTCATAGTCACCCAACATCCCATGGCGCACACGATAAAGGACTTCTGGCAGATGGTCTGGGACCACAATGCCCAGACAGTCGTGTTGCTATCATCTCTGGATGATATAGTGAGTATATAATGATTGCTCTTAGAAAGTAAATACTAATTAAGATTTTTCCCTTTAGAACTTTGCCCAGTTTTGGCCGGATGAGGCCACGCCCATCGAGAGCGATCACTATCGCGTCAAGTATCTCAACAAGACCAACAAGAGCGACTACGTCAGCCGGGACTTTGTCATCCAGTCGATACAGGATGACTACGAGTTGACGGTCAAAATGCTTCACTGTCCCAGCTGGCCGGAGATGTCCAACCCCAACAGCATCTACGACTTCATCGTCGACGTCCACGAGCGTTGCAATGACTACCGCAACGGACCTATTGTCATTGTAGATAGGTGAGTTATCAGAGCGTTTTTCTGTGTATCTATGAAGCTAGATTACAAGATAGATAATAAGTCATAAACTCTATCAACATTCAGCTTTTCTACTAGTATTTACCCAGAACTGTGAATATTTTCTGATAAGAATATTGTAAATTTCCCTCCTAGATATGGTGGCGCCCAGGCGTGCACCTTCTGCGCAATCTCGTCGCTGGCCATCGAGATGGAGTACTGCAGCACGGCCAATGTGTACCAGTACGCGAAGCTGTACCACAACAAGCGGCCCGGGGTGTGGACATCCAGCGAGGACATTCGCGTCATCTACAACATACTTTCATTTTTGCCTGGCAATTTGAACCTGCTGAAGCGCACGGCGCTTCGGACTGAATTCGAGGATGTGACAACGGCCACGCCGGATCTCTATAGCAAAATATGCAGCAATGGTAATGTTCCACAGCATGTCATACTGCAGTTGCAGCAGCAACACCTAGAGACACAGCAGCAGCAGCAGCAGCAACAGCAGCAGCAGCAGCAGCAACAACAACAGACTGCACTACATGATACAGTCAGCACACCACCAACCGATACTAATCCAAGCCTCTTGCCCATTCTGTCATTGTTACCGCCCACAGTCGCTCCACTCCAGTCCAACTCATCCACAACACCGCCACTACCACGACCTACATCCCCACAACAAACCATCCAAATGTCATCGCCATTAGACCTGTCCCATCAGATCTCACCCACAGTCGCCAATGCAACATCACCAACAACAACAACAACAACAACGACAACACCGGCAACACCAGCTTCCGCTAGTGCAACTGCAACTGCAACTGCAACACCGACAACTCCAACCACACCAACAGTCCTACCTATTATACCACTCGCAAGCTCTAACAGTTTAACCCTTACTAATGCCAATTTCCATACTGTTACTAATAACGCTGCTGACCTGATGGACCAACACCAACAACAACAAATGCTGGCCCTGATGCAACAACAAACCCAACTGCAACAACAATACAACACGCATCAACTTCACAACCTGAACAACGTTGGTGATCTTCTGATGAACAACGCGGACAATTCACCAACCACTTCACCGACGACCATCATCAACAACAACAACAATAACAACAACAACACCGCCGTCACAAATACAGCAGCGACAGATGCTCAAAACTTAGATATTGTAGGCTAAACTAAAGATAAATTTACAGAGTACAGAGAAAGGGAAATTAAATCATTTTATAAATGTTTAAATATAAATATTTAACTTTAAACCGTACTCTTACGTATATACATAGCGATGTATTTATTAACATTTAAGTCCGTTAAGTCCTTTAAGTCCTTTACGTGAGAACAGGGCGTCTAGCGCCTTGACCATAAATTATTCATTCGCCGTGTAAGCTCATGTTTTACTTTTATTTATTCCCCTCAGTTAATCCCCCTTAATAATACCATCTAAGTTTTTTTATAAACTATACTTTACCTACAGTTAGTCACAAGGAAAACGAAAGAAAAGTCAAAAACAGAACAAGTATAAAATTTGAGAGATCAAATCTTGAAAGTGAAAAAGTTGAAAAGTAGAAAAATGCACAAATTGAACAACAAGTAGAGTTAAAGAGAAACGTATTTGTCTAATCATTTATAACATATAGCTAACGTTAATGCAGGTTCATTCTGCACACACTTGTGCCATGATTTTTTAAGCTCCTATTAAACTCCTATTAAAGTAATGATTATTAGTTACAAAAACCGAAGTAACCTAACCTAGTTGATTGAGCACTTCTTGCATTTCGAATCGATTCAGTGTCCGTCCTAGTATCTGTTATTGTTTTTTGCCTTCTTATCACTTTGTTCCAGTTAAAAACAAAAAAAAACACCAAAAATAATAAAAACACAACTTAGCTACAAATTAATTGCGAATTTAGTAGGCAAAGAGAAGAGTTATTGGCAAATATTCCGAGTTACCGAGCACTTTACACGGAGCACCTTGCATCACCGCCACTCCCACTCACCACACATCACTGTAAATCCCAAACTAAAACTAAATAGATCACACAGTTTTCCGCACAAAGCACGAGAGCATCCCGAAAAACAATTGTAAATAGAAGCTTAGGCCGGAAAAACCAGGCTAAAATACTGTAAAAATAAGCTTAGGCATAACCTAAGACTCATCATTCTGAACAAGCTAAGAATATTGTAAAAACTAAACATTAAGCAAAGGCGACAACTAAGTGTAAATCTACAAATAATCGCAAGCAAAGTATTATTAAAATATACAATTCATGTGGAAAGTGAGATAAAGATAAAGATAAAGATAAAGATAAAATGAAAATGAAAACCCCAATGAAAACTCAAGTTTAAGTTTCGTTTTTCTCTTATCGATGCACAGGGCGTTACCACATTTGATATAACCCGAAAAACAGCGTAATATTAATCTGTACAGTTCTTAAAATTAGCCTCGAATGTGGATAAAAATAAATATAAAAGTAAAGTTAGCACTCTGAATTGCCATAGCCAGGGCCTGTGTGTAAGTTAGCTAAGGATGGATATACGGAATTGTCCACATTTAGTCAGATATATCTCTTACAAGAACAAACACACACAAGGCAAGTAGAAAGCAAGTAATTTAGTGAATATTTTTACATTTTATATGTAAAATGTGAAGAGAAAGAGGCAGAAGAGGAAGAAACGATAAACAAACATGTTTTAAAGACTGGTTTTTTGTACACTTTAACTTAAATAAGCATGTATACTGATTATGTAAATGAACGAATGTCAAAGGTCCTTCAGTTTCCTCTTAGATTTATCCCGTGTCCACCCACAATCGAATGTAGTCAGACTACTTGAGGATGATATAGTAGACGGTAGATAGTAGGCTTCTGGTGGGAGCACCCTTCAATCTTGATCGTATCAAAGCGAGAGCATTTCAATCCAATCCAATCATTTGTTAGCTGATACCAAATAGGCGGCTCTACATATTAACCAACTAATGACCAATTTTTGTGAGATTATGTTTCTTAGGCACTAACCCGACGTAGACTAAGACTACTTATATAGTACGCTAGAAAGGCTTGTAAATTTCTCATACTGACACCGGCAGTGGTAACAAATGCTTCATCTGTAATATAACAACAAGAATCATATTATTTCGATACAATATTGAGAGGAAAACAAAACTAATGCATTTTAACTGTTAAACACATAAATAGTAGTATGTACGATGAAACTATAGGTGGATATTTCTATACATTATGTACATAATGTTGTATGTGTGTGTGTGTGCGTGACCTACGTCGCAGCCAAAAACGAAAAAAGGAAAAGCTTAATCAACAGCAATAAGTACACAGAGTTCTACAGAAAATCCCCCAATTAAAAACTGCACCCACTTTTCGAGCAAACGGAAACCTTTCCGCGACTAAACTACCTTCACACATTAACTAAAGTAAATGGAAAGAGATACAAAGCAGCAGATACAGCAGATTATCTAATTGACGGTGTTATGCAATTTATAAATGTGATGAATGTCAAAGTTAAGCGTAAAAAACAATTTAAAAAGAAACCACAGAAAATACAAAAAAAAAGATAGAAAGAACAGAAATATTAAAGAAAGATTCGTAAGAACGAGCTGAACGTAGCCAGAACTTAAGTAAGCATGCCCACGATTTTAGAGCTAAGCAAATAGATGAAGATAAACACCCCTAACCCAGAGGCAGACCATAGATTTTAAAGAAAGAAAAGAAAGAAATTGCCCCCGCCCCTAAGGACCCAGAATGTAGGGACTTTCCCGCAGCTTGTAGAGGCCATTGAAGAAGCAGGAGGATCCGATATCAGAATCGGTAAACGTCTCGCGATAAACAAAATTAATGATATATACAGATAAAGATAAAGATAAAGATAAATTTATGTATGTATATGTATGTACACCTAAGCTACTCGTAAGCCAATGAAAAGTTGAAATGGACTAATGATAAATGGAACAGACAAAATTGAAAGCGTCAAAATAAAGAACATCAAATTGCAAACTTACCTTAGCTGGGCGATTGAGTTTCTAAGGTGAACTCCACGTGCATCAGCCCGAAGTGGCTGCGGGGCAAAACATCCGGGGTCCAGGTCAAGAGGACTCCATTGCCAGAATGATCCTACAAGGGATTGAGTTATTATATATAAATATTTCAGCTCTAGTCTAATCCCACCTTCGGAGCCGTTTCGAAAACAATCTTTGTCATATAAAGCCGGAGTCTGGGGTAGACTACTCGCTTTTTGGGCTGTCCCGGGACATGTGGCTCCACAGGTGGACGAACATAAGGTACAAAATGGCCTTCTGCATGCCGCTGGAAGGAGCATTCCAACTGTAGCCCAATATTTGGGGTACTGAAGATGCGCTTCACGGTGTGTAAACTAGCGAAATGCCAAGTGTACTTTTTGAGGCCTTTGTATTTGCCCGATTCTATCACAGTCAACTTATCTAAGGGTCGTCGTTTGATGCCAGTGCTGAAGCTTTTGCAGAAGTGCGAGAAGGTGTCCTACAAGGCATGATAAAGAGTTAATAAGATATTAAGAGATGCTAAACCCTAACTAATTACCTTGTGCACATGGAAGTTGTGTTGAACTAAGCGCTTTGTAAGCCCAGCACCAGGAGTTTCTAATGGCTCAAAGGCGTCGTTTAGGAGCTCTATCACATGATCCAGCCATGCTAGGTAGGACAATGCCGGTTGAACCGAAGGATCTAGACATACTGAAGCTGCCGTGGCTGCATTATTCACTATCAAATCCCTTCTAGCTGGCAGTGGTGGCTGCCTTACGGACTTCACTTCAGTCACAATTTCTGAAAACTTAACCGGAGTCTTTTTAACCACTGATATGGTGGCCAATTCAATGGGCAGTTGTTCGGTGACCACAGAAGGCGTGGTCTCGGTAAAAATAGGCGGAGCAGCTAGTATGTTATAGGGTTCAGTGATCAGCGGCAGTTCTATATCCTCACTGCATATATCCAGCTGATCAGTGGGCTGAAACTGATCCATTAGCTCAATGTTGCAATCGGTTAACTCTATGGGCTCGGCGTAGACATCGCAATTGGACAAGAGCTGCGAGTCATTGGCATAGTGGATCAAGGCATCGTTGGTATTTGAGGTGTTGTGACTAGAAGTTGCTGCCTGCATGTTGTCCAGGTTAAAGACACCGTCAGTCAGATCGGGTAAGGGAAGCTAGAATATATCAAAAAGTTAATCCATAACGTCTACAATTGGATGATTAAACTCACATCTAGCTGATCCCCGAAGACAAGAATGTCCACCTGTGGATCAAAGTCATCCACCATGCTCAAACTTAGCCTCAAATCTTCGGTGGCGACTTCTCCCAATGGAGTTTCCAGCTGAGAGGGCATCCAAAAGCTCTGCAAGCCACTGGTAAAGTGACCGTAAACCCGTTTTCCCTGCGGGGAACTGAGTATTCCCGCCAGAACCAGCAGCAGATGGTCGCAGATCTCGTCCTGCATCACCAGGGAGTTATCTGGCTCCACTATGATCTTTAGTTTCCGGCAGGCACAGGCGTAGATTCCCTTCTTTTTGTTCAAGCCGTTGGCCAAAACGGTGACATGTAGCCTGGCAGCTGGAAAGGATTCGGAGCGTTCGCATTTCACAGCAAATGTGGAGTGATTCAGTCTCTGAACTCCTGGAAGATGCTCCTCTTCCTCTGCAAACTTGTACAGATGCCAGAGATGCTGCTTTTGCTCCTGGTTTATATTCAAGTTCCACAGGACCTCGCGGGACACTCGATAAACTTGGGCCTTCGGCAGTTCCGCCCCGGATTCCCTACAAGCCTTAACATGGACGCAATCTACGGATTCCTCTCCACTTTTCTTGCAAGACTCCACGTAGCACTGGGCCTTACTGGACACCACCGCAGCATCCGGTTGCAGGGACAGAGTTACATCCTGTATGACCACAAAATTTCGCGGCTGTTGCTCCTTTTCCTTAGTCCTCAAGGAGTAAACAGTAGAGCCTGGCCGCAGGGAAACCAACTGCACGGCATCCAGCACATTCCTGCGCTGCGGGCACTCGGAATTCCGGCACATCTGCGCCCGATTTCCATTGATGGCACCACAGTGAACACACTTCCGAACGCCGCGCATTGTTTTTCACATTTCTTCCATCGAAAAACTTAAGTTTTACTTTCGCAAATTTCTGCACAATTTTGCCGGTTTTTGTTTTGTTTATATGAGTGTGACCGTTTGAACTTAAGCTAATTTAGGGCTGGGTACTTCCCCTTTCATAATTTTAAATCTTTTTGGGGGTTGTTTTGTGCTTTATAACTGAAAATTACATTAAGATAACTATTTATTTTAACTATTTTTATTATGAAAATGAAAAAAAGTATTATACAAATTTGGATTATCTACATGGATTTTACATCTCGTTTGGGATATTCCGCTTCATATGTTTTGCTTGTAATTGCCAGCCCTGGCCATATCAGCTGTTTGTTATCGATAAATTGTTTGCTTATTTCTATTAGAAATTTGTTATCTTTATTTTGGATATTTAGTTGGGATTTTCGCAAAAATGACGCATCCTTTGGAGGTGGAGCAGCGAACCCGCAAGTACCCCTTTGTAAATATGCGGATTTCAGACCATTCGATATTGGATACCATCGAGGGACGCCACAATTGCAAGTCCTGCAATCGGTCCCGGAAATTCTTCTGCTACAGCTGCTACATACCGGTGGGGGAGCTGGAGGATCAGGACGTGCTGCCGCGTCTTGAGCTGCCACTGAAGATAGATATCATTAAGCACAAGAAGGAAATTGATGGCAAAAGTTCGGCGGTACATGCAGCGGTTTTGGCGCCGGAACACGTGCGGATCTATACATTTCCGGAGATCCCAGATTACCGGGAAGAACCAGGAGTGGTTCTTATATTTCCCAGTGCCACTTCCTTGACAGTTCCCCAGCTTTTCGAGAGAAATGTCCAACTGCAGATAGGAGATAACTATGGCCTGCCAAAGGGTCACCATATGGGCACCATGCTACGCAGAAGAATGGATGAAGTGGAGATCCAGGATCCCCATTCAAAGGATCAGGAACCATCCGAAAAGAAAACCTGGACCCTAGATAACCTGCCCATCCGTCGGGCTGTCTTCATAGACAGCACATGGAACCAAAGTCGTGGGATCTATGCGGATGAGAGGATTCGCAGCCTACGAACTGTAGTTCTACAAAATAGATTATCCCAATTCTGGCGACATCAGAGGGGAAGTCCACGTTGGTACCTTGCTACTATAGAGGCCATTCATCAGTTCCTCCTGGAAGTCCATATCAATGCCTGGGGCCTTAATAGGGAGTACAGAGGACTGGATAATCTCGAGATCACAGAAGGCTTTCATCAACTGGCGGAGCCTTTGAAATCAGTAGCTCCCATCGAGGATGTGGGCAGGGAATCTCCCTACAACGGACAATATGACAATCTGTTGTTCTTCTTTGCCAATATGTACGATCTCATCCACAAGTACTACGATCATAATGATCTGATATCCTACCGGCGACCCATTTAGTTTTTCTAAGTATTTATATTGGATAGTGAGAAATACACGTTATTGTTGGCTAAGACTACTTCTTCTTCTTCTTGCCCTCGTCACCGGACTCGGAACTGGAGGACTTAGCATCCGTATCGATGGGCTTTTGCCATTTCAGGGCGTTGCGACGGTACAAGGGCCAGGGTGGAATGGTAATCTGGGAAGAGGTCATTATGCGGTTTTACAAATTAAAAACTAAAATTATACAAGATCTCACCAAGGAGGAGAGCACAAATCCGGCTCCCAGAATGTAAACCGTTTGCGAAAATTGCTGCACAAATGCTCCGTAAATCAGTCCAACGACTCCGAAGAATGTGATGATAAAGCGGGACCAACGCTCCGCCTTTCCCTGACCAGCAAAGTCCTGAGATAAGAATGTTTATTATATTGATTTAATATATTGAATATCACCACTCACCATATGTGTCTGAATATCCAGCATTTTGAGATAATTTATCCTTTCAAATTATCAATTTTCACGTAAACAATTCGGTTTGCGGCACGTCAGCATATAAATAGTGTGACCGTTGCTATAAAGGAATACCTCAGAAACGCCATGCAAAATATACCAGATTTTGTACTTTCTGATTCTAACTGGGTACAAATACCAATCAGATTTAACTTAAAATTGTACCTTATTGAGGAAATTGCCTTAATTCGAGTTTTAAATGTTAATAATCATCTTGAGATTATAAACCCATTTCAAAATTAAACACAAAACCAGAATTTGAAATGATATCTCGATTTAATCAATCGTTCGTTGTTCATACATTTATTTGTACAATGTTTTTGAATGGCGGTTTGAACCGTGGACGTAATCGATATGTTTCTATCAATAAATAAGTGGCTCTTCGTAAGGCTACGGTTAAATATAAGGCGAATGTGCGAGCGGAATTTGGGTTCCTTTCCAATACGATGGGAGGCAGGATTTTCCAGCTCCTGTTGCTCCTGTAGTGCATGGCATCCTTAGACTCTGGCGTCCTTTGTGCGTCGCAGATGGACGATATTGATCACGCTGATGATCACCCAGGCCACGAAAGCTATCCAAGCGAAGACCAGAGTGAAATATAGACTTGCAGCTGTGTTGATACGGCCATAGCGCCTCCGTTCATAGGACACGCTCTCCACCAGATAGTCCATGAAATCGAAGATAGCAGCACACGAGAGGCGTGACTTGATCACGGGCACTATGTTGCCCACTCCCTGGATTTCCTTCAGAAGAGATTCCCTGTACTGCTTGCAGGTCACCTCGAATCCGTCCGTGAAGATGGCAGAGTAGATCAGTTGGTAGATGGCCATTATCACCGAGATCACGGTGGCAGGAAGCCCTGAAAAACATATTATCATTACTATCATATATTAAGGTTTATTTCAAGATACTCACAATAGTAGGGCGAGAGGCCGTCTGGAGTTAGTTCGGACTCGGTGGTCACTACAATCATGTCACCAGAGCTATTGGGAAGAAAGGAGTAGTATTAATGGAAGTAGTTATGGTTTCCCAATCTACATTAAGTATTCATTAAAGAATCATATTCTTTGAGAAACTTTGCCATTTTTTAATTGTTTTATTGGGGCATATTGCATATAACTGCGTTACTCATCCGCAGAGTGGTCATCATTAGCATAGACGCCCCATGTTGGCGAGCATGCCGATTAACCCACTTGACCCCCAGACACCAGATCGGAATTAGAATGCTTACCGCTGCCGGATGGTGGCCGTGCCCGCCTTGGGCTTGCCACGCCCGATGCACATCCGATACCCGTGATAGAGGGCCAGCACCACGGCGAACAGGAGGGGCAGCACGAGTCCGTAGGTGGCATAGTGGCAGTAGGCGATGTTCCCGCCCTCGAAGCTGTTGTACGTGCTCCTGCTGTGCAGTACACATCCGCAGTTGGTGTCCGGACAGGCGTTCAGCACGTACTGCCAGTGCACCCAGGCCACTGCCGACGAGATGCAGCAGATCACCGAGGACACGATGGCCAGAGGGTACAGATAGGACAAAGCTCGCTCTGCGTAGTACGACATATTGAAGACTGGTGGACCGATCGATCGTGAAGTTCCTGAATATAGTAAATAAGTATAATATAAAGATTACGCCATCCAGCAACCAGTTTCTTAAATGTTATTATAAAGCTACTCCTAAAATGTCCAAGCTTTATTTAATTTTGAAATAATATTCAAATATCTTCAGTCTTATTAAGTAATTTGTGGGGTAGTCAGTCAATTGGGTTAAACCTAATTAATTGCCCACTTTTCGAGCTCTCTAATTCCACATAATTGTAATTACAGACAATTCGTGTGCAATTGCTTAAGAGCAGGTCGAATTTCATTTTAAATTTTCTTAAAGGGGGAAGACCACTTTTTCTTTTAAAACTTCTATTACTATGATTTTTAAATATATAAATAAAATGTAAATATATAGAGAATTACAGACTTTAAAATGAATGTGCAATAACGAGTATTGTACAATGTAAATGTAAATTATAGATTTTAGTAAATTATAATACATAATACCATAATACATGACCACTCCTAATTACTTAAAATCTCAGCTAGATCGTGTTAAAAATCTGCTAATTGCAACACTTTTGTCTTTGCACAAAATTAAGAAAAGATAAATACCTAAGTTAAAGCGTTACAGAATATTGTTTATATTAAAAGGGTTTTGAAATGATAATAACAAAACTCCAAAAGCTATCGATTTTACAACAACAACTCGTTGGGCGTCTGTCTTCAAAACACACAAACACATGCACAAAATGGGTTGCAACGCGCACTGTACCAAATATAAACAAACTGTATTGTTTCTCTAGTTATTCTAGATTTTCAGTTAGACAGCTCACATCCAGTTAGCAATAGTTGTTAAATGTTTATTAGACGGTTTTTGGTATCACATTTCTTACAGGATTTAGGTATTAATAACAAAACTTCACTGCTGACACACGCCCGCACACAGGCGCACTGCAGTCACACCTACGTTTATCGATATCGCCGTGAGAGAGAGAGGCGCAGCTGCAGCGCGTAGAGAGAGAGCAACAACAACCGAACGGTTGAGAGGTAACTTAACGACTGAAATAAAACTGTTGTTATGGCAATGGTTTCTGATCAGAACTGGCATTCTGATTGGGGAGCGCAGTGGCATTACCCTGAAGGCGGGGTGTAGCTTTAGCCACTAGCTAAGCGCATCTGGCAACGCCAAATCGTTTGAATTCAAATTTTAATTCCGTTAAAATTAATAATACGTTAAATTAACAGTCTTCCTTGAAATCGAGAAAAGAAATGCTGATTTAAGCTTCATTTTCGCTTATCTCAGTTTAAATCAATGCTACATAAGTTTCCCCTCTGCTATATTTTATATTTAAGAGCAATTCCTCGAAACTTCGTTGTTATCAATATTCCGAAAACTTTTTCTAATTTTTACAACCTTAGCAAAAAGTTCCCATTTAAATCATATAAAATCGCCATTTCCCGAGATGAAATTATCAGATTTCTGAAACCACCTAACGATGAAATCATCAGCAGTTACTCTCCTGCTCATCGGGATCTGCTTCCTGGCCCTGGTAAACAAGTCCAACGCTGTATGTTGTGTCACCAAGGAAGAGCTGACCTATAAGATGAGCAAGGGAGAGTGTAAGGATGTCGGAGGATATGGAAACAATCCCCAAAGGTGTACAGTCCTGATCTGCGCCGATGGGATGGCCCAGGTGGGCATGTTTTGTGGCCGATCATCGTGCAACCTCTTCGGCTGCAGCTGCGATGGAGGATGCTTGGAGGGCAACTGGAGCCAGAGCTTTGTCTATAAACACAGTTATTACGGAATTGAAATAATTAATGTTAAAAGATATCTTTGATGTGAGATCTATGTGCAAATTTGGAGAAATAAACATATTTTTGATTTTTTAACAAATATTTTCCACCTTCTCAAAGTTGTGGTATCTTGAACTGGAGCTAGGGTTTAAATTATAATAATCTTTAATTCTAATTTTCCTTATCTCAGTTCTAATCAAAAGCTGCATAAGCTTTGCAGTCTCTATATTTCCTATTAAAGTAAAATACCTAGGAAATGTGCTGTTATCAATATTCCAAATAACTTTTTCATTTTTTGCAACCCCTGCAAACAATTTCCCAATTGAAATCATATAAAATCCCTATTTCCTGAGATGAAATTATCAGTTTTCTGAAACCACCTAACCATGGAATCACCAGCAGTTACTCTTCTCCTCATCGGGATCTGCTTTCTGGCCTTGGTCAGCAAGTCGAACGCTCAAATCTGCTCCACAATGGAACATGTGACCTTTAAGATGAGCAGGGGAGAGTGTAAGGATGTGGGAGGATATGGAGAAAATCCCCAAAGTTGTTCAACTATAATCTGCGCCGATGGGAAGTCCCTGGTGGGGAGGTGCTGCTGCCGATCATTTAGCAGTCACTGGGGTTGTAGCTGCGATGGAGGATGTTTAGAGGGCAACTGGAGTCAGAGCTTTGTTCTTAAAAACAGTTATTACGGAATTGAACTTCTTGATGTTAAAAGATATTATTAATCTATGCAAAATTGGTGAAGTATACATATTTTTGGTTTTTCGAATAAATATTTTCCACCTTATCAAAGTTGAGTTCTTTTGAATCGGAGTTAGGACTAGGATAATATCTGTATGGACAACGCCCACTAGAGATGTGCGCTTCTGTTGGCCTGCAGCCACGGGAAGAGCCGTTTACTGACTGCAAAAGTCTAAAAATTCGATTTCTAATAAGCATTTGGGAAATAATACTGCTTAAGAGCAGTTTCATTTCACATTTTCTAAAAGGGTTAATATTTCAAAATATAAATAAAAAATTATATATAAAAACTAGCATTCTATGAGTACCTCCTAAATAAAGAAAGATAAAGAAATGTATTAATTAATTATATATCCCTTGAGCTAGAGAAAGAACCGCATCTTTAAGTTTGATTTACCTTATCTCAGTTTTAATCAAAATTTGAATCAGCTTTGCAGCCGCTATATTTCCAATTAAAGTAAAATACCTAGGAAATGTGCTGCTATCAATATTCCAAATAACTTTTTTCATTTTTTGCAACCTCTGCAAACAATTTCCCAATTGAAATCATATAAAATCGCTATTTCCTGAGATGAAATTATCAGTTTTTTGAAAGCAACCAACCATGGAATCACCAGCAGTTACTCTCCTCCTCATCGGGATCTTCCTTCTGGCCTTGGTCAACACGTCAAGGGCTGAATGTTGCTTTACCAAGGAGGAAATAACTTATAGGATGGAACAGGGAGAATGCAGGGATGTCGGAGGAAATGGGAAAAGTCGCAACGAGTGCACAATCATGATCTGCGCCGATGGATTTGCCAAGGTGGGCACATATTGTGGCCAATCTTCTTGCAACATTTTTGGCTGCAACTGCGATGGCGGATGTTTAGAAGGCGATTGGAGCAAAAGCTTTCTCGAGAAACACAGTGATTACGAAATCGAAATCCTAGATGTTACCAGATATTTTTGATCTGTCAGATCTACCTACATATATGAGAAATGGTTAAATAACCATTAGTTATCGTTTCGATTTTCCAATAAATGTTTTGATTCTTAAAAAAGTTGTGTTTTCTTGAACTAGAACAGCTTTAATCAACAGCTGAATCCGCTTTGCAGTCTCTATATTTCCTATTAAAGTGAAATACCTTGGAACTGTGCTGTTATCAATATTCCAAATAATTTTTAAATTGAAATCATATAAAATCGCGATTTTCCGGGATGAAGTTATCAGTTTTCTGAAAGCAACCAAAAATGGAATCACGAGCAATCACTATCCTCCTCATCGGGTTCTGCTTCCTGGCTTTGGTCAACAAGTCCGACGCCGTATGCTGCCGCGCTAAGGAGGAATTGATCTTTAAGATGAACAAGGGAGGGTGCAAGGATGTCGGAGGATATGGAGAAAATCCGCACAGGTGCAGAATCGTAATCTGCGCCGATGGATTTGCCCAGGTGGGCATGTACTGTGGGCAATCATCTTGCAACATCTTCGGTTGCAACTGCGATGGCGGATGCTTGGAGGGCGATTGGAGCCAGAGCTTTGCCTACAAACATAGTTACTACGGAATCGAACTCATAAATGTAAAAAGATTCCTTTGATCTATCTAAGATCAAAATGAGTAATAAATGAGTAAAATATACTTATTTTTTTATTTTTGAATAAATATTTTCTGTCCCATTAAAGTTGGTTTGCTTGAACTAAAGCTAGAATTGTGCGGAAAGAAAATCAATTTAAAAATGAATCAAATTTCTTAATATATCAAAACCAGCATCTTTCCTCTTACGGAATTTGAAACTTTATATTTGCCAGTAGTTTCTTACTAGTTTGAGACAGTCTGGCAACGCTTAATCGTTTGAATTCAAAGTGAATTTCCGTTAATCGTAAAAATAACTTATATATCAAGAGCTTTTAACATTTAATAAATAAGGAAAAATTAATAAATTCACATATGTGTTATATAAAACTATACTCAAGCTGGAATTACAGCCTATCTCAATTTTAATCATTTCTGCATATTTGACATTTTCGAATTAAGTACAATTCCTCGGAACTGACCTGTTATCAATATTCCGATTCTTTTGATATTTGAAAACTTGGCAAATTACAATTTACAATTAAGTACAATTCCTCGGAACTGACCTGTTATCAATATTCCGAATAGATTCTTGGCAATAAGTTCCCATCTCAAATGTTATAAAAGTGCGATTTCTCTAGGGAAAAATCTTTAGTTCTCTTAAAAATTCAAGTCATGGAATCATCATTAGTTACTGTCCTTCTCATCGGGATGTGCTTCCTGGCTTTGGTCAACAAGTCCGACGCCGTATGCTGTCACACTAAGGAGGAAATAACCTACAGGATGGAACACGGAGCATGCAAGGATGTCGGAGGATACGGAAATGATCCCGACATGTGCACAATCCTGATCTGCGCTGATGGATTTTACCAGGTGGGCATGTACTGTGGGCCAAGCGATCTTGCAACATCTTCGGCTGCAACTGCGATGGCGGATGCTTGGAGGGCGATTGGAGCCAGAGCTTTGTCCAGAACCACAGGAATTACGGAATCACAATTATTAAAGTTAACAGGATGCTTTGATCTGTCTAAGTTCTGTACAAGAAGCGGGTGAAATATTAATTACTAGAAGCCTTTTTTGATTTTCCAATAAATCTTTCGTTTCTTATCCAAATCTTTTGTTTTTAACTATACTACAGCTATTATGTACGTGATACATGTAATATTATAATATCTGTATGGCCACGCCCCCTAGAGATGTACGCCTCTGTTGGCCGGTCGCCATGGGAAGAACATTTGCCATGTCTGCCGACTGCGCCAAATGACGCCTGCACTCGCTCTTTGAGCAGAGATCGTCCCCCAATAACCCCTCCATGTCTATATATCCACATCCAACTATCCCCTATCCCCCTATCCACCCATATAATACGACCAACTAGCCGAGTGGATTTTGGCATAAACTATTTTCCGCGGACGCCTGATTTTCTCAGTTGCCAGAGAGTTGTGGAGCCGTCAAGAACGCGGAAAATTTCGACCAATTGATGCCGTAGAAACCAGCGGTTTCCGCCGGATTCTTGCCAGTAATTTGCCATCGAAGAAGTGAAAACTCAAGTGCAATTTGCCAAGTATTCGCGACCCCCGTCATTGTTGTGCGAAAGTTACGAAATTGCATTTTTTGTTCGGCGATTCTCGAGCATTGCACTTGCATCCTCATCATCAATTTGCAACCAAAACCAGGCGAATCCGCCTATCGCCTATAAATAACCCAGGCAAAAAGGGTGAACACAATTTTGATGTGTACCTCTGCTCGCAAATCAAAAGATCACCACAAAAATGTTCACTAAATTTGCATAATTCGCCTGTGCAAATTGTTGTTATTTCGCTATTTTAAACTTAAGGCAACAAGTAATTAATTAATGGCTTTTGTTCTCGTGTTCGTTTATATTGTAGAGTGGGTCTAACGATTTCCTTTGATCAATTAATCAAATGGGTAATTACGTTCTTGTATTCTGTGTAGCTTTTAGCCGGATTTCGATAGTGCTTGTGGCTTAAAATAGTTTCTGTACTTGAAAAATATGCTCATGGAATGTACATATCTGTTGTCTTTTCGGCATTAAACAAATAAATATTTTCCCATATTCAGTTTGCCAAATTAAACAAAAATAATTTCAGTCTATAATGTCTATCCTAAAATTTGAAAATCATTGAAAATTTTGAAAAAATGTAGGGGAACATAATCTTTTAAAGTTGCTTTCTTAATAAATATTACTTATTAAACTTAAAAGTCTTGTAAACTAAATCCTTATAAACTAAAAAACTGCATGACTAATCGGGGAAGCCTCGCAGAAATCGCCATTTCATGAATGAATGCTCGTGCTACTTATAGAAAGCGCCTGCAAAATATTCCCACAACGACACAAGCCGGCATATTTCCCATAGATAGAACCAGAGCCACACGGAACCAGACAAACTATATATTATAGAACAGAAAACACACAAAGTTTCCAAGGGTTAGAAAACAGTGCCCACGATGGATAATTGGAATGTTTTGGCAGCGCAAACCTCATCCCAGGCCATCGGACTCCACGACTCGGGGGTGGTGAGGACGCGACTGGTAAGTGCCACATACATGCATAGTGGATGTACATAGCTATAGTAAACAAAACAAACCCAGCCGACCGATCGCGTATATATAGAAATCTTGGCAACAAACAACATGCGTCTTTACTTGCACTGAGAAATAAATATATAGAAAGATACTTTTTTGAAACATTTCTTACTTAGAAACTTTTTGGATAAGGGCTTAGGAATCAATTAATATCAATATTTGGTTAGTTATAAACAATTTAATATATACTTTTATAAAAGTTTATAAGGAAAACTTAATCATCTGTAGTACTTTATATCTCATACATCACTAAAATCTTTCCAACCTCCAAAAAAGGAAAAATAACAAAAACTTTTGTCATAAAGCGTTGCCTACTTTTTGACTCCCCTTAAAGGGACTTTTAATCTCTAATGTGTTTCTCTTGGTGCACCACTGGGTGGGTGTTTTGGTGGTCGGCTGGTTCTGGGAGAGTGCGTAAGTGGTGCGGGGCCGGCGAACAGCTGATGCATCCGAGACAGATCTGCCACTGCTCTCGTTACTAGCGCTCGTCTATAAATAGGAACCTGATTCTCTTGAGTCTATTGCCTGGCGGTTCTTTTGGAGATTCCGATGGCAATGTCGATGGGAATCCGTCTCGCAGTAGCGCGAAAGTAGCTCAGTCCGACGGATATTCAGCTGGCGAACCAGACCACGCGTAGTTTTCCCCCCATTTTTTACCTATATTTTATATAAGTGCTTTCGCATCACCTCGATACATATTGAAGTGGCCTAAGGAATGGATATTTCCACCGATATCTGGGGTCAGCTGGCCGTCGAGGCCTCGCAGGTGTACCTTTCCGATGGCACAGTTCGCAGTCCCTTCGCCGATACGGTACGACGATTTGGAGCTATTACTTTGAGATTAACTCATCTGACCAAAAACTAGGAGAGAGTACTTCTCTGAGAAAAAGAAAAGCACTCGAAGTGAAAATATTTATAAAATATGTGATCCCACATGAACACATATGTTAAATTATATAGAAGTGGATCAAAGCGTTTCCTTCACAGCGATCTTAATTATTTAAACTTAAAAATTAATGAGAAAATAAAATTATCAGTATATATATATTACACCTTTCTAATACATTTCTCACCCGCAGACCATCGAAAAGCTGCCCGACAAGGTGCTGCTGCACATCTTCTCGTATTTGTCGCACCGGGAGATCTGTCGCCTGGCCCGGATCTGTCGTCGATGGCGCCAGATTGCCTACGATACCCGACTATGGAAGAATGTGTCCCTGCGCCCAGAGGTCTCTGGACTTCACGTGGGCTCCCTGGAGATGCTGCTTCAGCTTATATCCGTGAGATTCGGTCCAACGCTGCGCTATATTGAGCTGCCCATTGAGCTCATCACGCACACGGTACTCCACGAGCTGTCTGCCAAGTGTCCCAATCTCACCCACATGCTGCTGGACTTCTCCACGGGTGAGTATTCCACTAATTCAGTGCTAAATTTTAATTATTAATAAATTTATGAAATATTTTTAGCCATGCAGCTGCACGATTTCAGCGAGATGCAGGCCTTTCCCACCAAGCTGCGCTATATGTGCGTCTGCCTGTCGGAAGTGATCTTCATGGAGGGCTTCATGCGCAAGATCTACAACTTCATAAACGGCCTGGAGGTGCTCCACTTGATTGGCACCTATGAGAAGTGCGAGGAGGAGGAGGAGGAAATCTACGAGGTCATCAACGTGCATAAACTGAAGTCGGCCACTCCTAACTTACGTGTGATCAATCTGTACGGCATCAACTTCATCGACGACTCCCACATCGATGCCTTCAGCTCCAACTGCATCCAGCTGGAGTGTCTGGCTGTTAACTTCTGCAACAAGGTCACTGGCTCCACTCTGAAGACCTTGATCCAGCGATCCAAGCGACTGACCTGTTTGCTGATGAATGGCACCAGCTTGAAGTCGGAGTTCGTGATGCAGGCCGAGTGGGACAAGTGCGCCTTGCAGGAGCTGGACATTACGGCCACGGACCTTTCCCCGGAGTGTTTGGTGGATATGCTTACTAGGATTCCTAGCTTGAAGTTCCTATCAGCCGGACAGATCAATGGATTCAACGATAGTGTACTTAAGCAGTGGATGGAATCGGGAACTACCAGGTGGGATGAAACTTTTTACTCCTAGTATCCTTCTTTCTTAACGTTAATCCTTTTAGATCCCTCATTTCCCTGGACCTGGACTCATCAGACAACATCTCCGATGAAGGTCTTCTTAAGTTTATACAGCGCCAGGGTCATCAGCTGAGCGCTTGCTGCCTCTCGGGAATGCCCCACATCACAGATCAACTATGGATGAGCATCCTTCCTTTGCTAGGCAACTGCAAGTAAGTTAAGTTAATTAATAATACTATTACAATATTAATCCCATATTATTCCTATCCTTCAGGATCATTGTCATGGGCACTGCTGAGAAACTGGGCGTCAATATCCATGTGGACCAGTTGATGGACACCATTGCCTCGAACTGCGGCAACTTGGAGCGTTTGGAATTGCGTTGGGATCCGGATAACCTGCGATTCTCAGACAAAAGCCAAAAGGCGATCGATATTCTACGTGTCAAGTGCCTCAAATTGCGATGCATGGTGCTCAGGTGAGTTTCCTTAGTAACTAATTCTATAGATTTTTGTGTAACTTTATGGAACTTCCAGCGATGGTCGCTATTATGAGACGGTTAAGGCCAACTTTGAGCGTGCCGATCGTATCACCGTGGTTCGCACCACCACCTGTTGTCGGGTGTCACCTTACCATCTGCTCCGCAACTACAATGATTTGATTTTCAACTAAGGAAATAATGTGGACTGTAAATATAGAATGCGTTTCAAAGCTGAAAGATGGTTAAGATGTCCAAGAAAACGTTGGTTACTCTTCCAGCTTTGAAAGGCACTGTAAATCGTGTTAACCGAAACAGCCACAATTCTAGTCAAAAGTCAACACAAAAATTGTTTCTGTGTGTTTTCGCTTACATTAGACTGTTTTTAATGTTTTCTGTATTTTCCGCTTCTTTCGTTTAATTACATTAAATCTAAATAAACGTACATAGGTAATTTAAATAAAAAAAAACAAAACAAGGATTCTCTTATTCAAGTTATTTTTACATTACAAAATTATACAACGCAATCATTTGTTTCGCTCTCATTTTTCATCTGTGCTGATTTCGTGTTTTGTTTTTAACTAGATTTACTTGGTAACTTGATTAAATCATTTTCAGACTTCACCACATAAAATGTTTGTTTATCGTTTTTGTTTTTTGTTTTTTTCTTGTTTTTTTTATCCGCTGATGGTATTTTTACACTGCTTTTATCCGCTGCAAACTTAGGGCTACATTTTTTTGTGTGTGTTTCAACATTTTTGGATCAACTTTTACCATAAACTTAACGTACATAGATCTCTGGTTCAATTATCGTCTCATTATCGATCAGCGCGCTATTATATGCATGGTATATAATTTAGTTAAGCATGGCTGCGTGTTTTATATATATATACGTAAATGTCTGTGCATATGAGGATCAAGGGTGTGTGCTGTTTGGTTGTCATGTGTCTTGTGTGCTAGGGAGTGTGTGTGTCTTTGTGTGATAGGAATAGATTGCTCTTTAAAGGATTAGAGAAGCCTTGGTTTTCGCTACAAAGATTCGCAATTTTTACATAAGTACACTAACACACAGAACATTTCCAAGTAGTAAGATATATAAGAAAAACAAGGTACGCCGAGCGCTCCAGTTTCCGTCGATCCGATCCGATTTACTGCTGGTCCTGCGACATCCGGAACATGTGCGTCGTATTGCTGGCCGCAGCCGTGGCCACAGCAGCAGCGGATGTGGCCGTCGGCGGAGGCGGTTGGGCGGATGCTGAGATATAGCTGCTGTCACTGCTCCCGCTGGCGCTGATTCTCTGCGTGGCGTTGCTGGCAATGCTGCCCAGAGATCTCGCCTCTCCGATAGCCGCTGCTGACTCTACGATGGCTGCAGCTGCCTCGCCTCCGATCCGCACTGCTGCTGCATTGGAGGAAGTGGGGGCCACATCAGGCATCTCGACTGGAATTCGCTCAGGAGAGCGTCGCGGCGCACCAGCATTGTTTCCATCCTGGGGGATTAAGTTTTATATAAGTAAATATGTACATTATATCCTTTATTGTACTTACATCTCGCGGGTAGATACGTAGCGGCTGTTCAGCTTGGGCATCCGCCGCTGGCTCTGCATCATGGGCATTTTCTTCCGCCTTGTCTGTATACATCATGATCTCATGGCACAAGGGGCAGCGATCCTGGACATATAGCCATTTGCGAAGGCAGACGCCATGGAAGAAGTGACGACACCGCGTGATCTTGGCAGAATACATTTCCTAAATGGTAAAACGAAAGCTTGGTTAAATGCAAGAAATGGGTAATATAAATGGAAACTCACCTGATAGCAAATGGCGCAGACATCATCAAATGCCTGCAGCTGGGCAGGAGTTGCCTCTGGAAGAGCAGAGATCTTGTGGACCGCCGAACGCCGCTTCATGAAGACCGACCAGCCCGCCCGGGCCTCGCACCAGATATTAAAGTAGGCATGGATGCACATCATGATCGCTCTGATGGCGCCGCCTGTAGCATTTTGGGCTATCAAGTTATAGTTATCGATACACAAAATCAACCAAATAAAAATATTACATGCACACACAGAACAGAAAAGCTGGACGCGGAACAAGGTGGATCCGGATTTGGACTCGGATTCGAGTTCCGAGTCCGATGCACAAATGCCAATTTATTGCAGCGATGGTTTCGCTTACTCATGTGTTAATGTAACAAGGACAGGGGCGCTGGACGACAACTTACCCGATTCGAAGATTAGAATCCAAGCTCCATTGATGAACAGCAGGATGCCGAAGCAGAACTCCACCGAGTTGCCAAAAGCACGCACGTAATAAAGGTAGTCATCCAGCTTCTCCCAGAAGAACTGGCGCCGGGCATCCAGCAGGAAGAGTGTATAGGTAGCCAGCGAAACGAGCACCTAAAGAAGGTTATATTTATCATCTATCAATCTTGTACAGAAGATATCTAATGTTCACCTACCTTGACTATCACTTCGACGGAGAAGGCGGTAACCGCCAGCAACCAGGTGGAGATGGATCGCTGAGACCATAGGTAGTAGAGTAGGGACACGGGCATCACTACGAGGAAGGCGCAGACAGTGAGGGCGCGCACATGGCGTTTTCGTGAGGGATTCCTTGCCGCACTTAGCGACATTAAAATGGGTGAGACGATGTTGTGGAGGAAGTGAAGCAGAGCAGTCATCAGTAAGCACAGGTTCCGGCAGAGTCTTATGAAGCGTTTGTCCGGCGATAGGGAGGTTAAACCCGTCTGCAGAGCAAGGATATAGAAAAGCACTGCTGAGACAGTGCCCAGCGACTTCTCCTCGTCGTTGTCGTAGGTCAGCAGATACCACTGGAAGCCGCGTCCGATGTAGTGGCAGATCATCGAGATGACGCCAGTCATTCCTAAGACCGCCGTCAGGGTTTCACAGCCATCCACGAGCAGTTTCTGCGTAGCTGGCATCAGTTCCAGGGGCTCATCCGTCTCAGTGGTGGCCAAAGCATATCCGCCTTGAATTATTCTAGAAAGTTATGTTTATTATTAGATCAATATTTATTTCAGGAGGTTAATCAATCTATGATAACCTGATTGCTAAGCCATTAACGACTATCGAAATACAATGCGATTAATGGCCTTGTTCGACTGACACATTTACGGTCTAAATGCAAAAATTCGAACGTTCCATGTGCTTGATTAACATAAATTAATGAACTACCTCGGAAACCCACCTGATGGTCCAAAAGACCCTCAAAACATTGGGAACATTCAGGCGCTGCCATTCATTTTCTATGAGCGCCGACAGTCCAAAGTTGGACACAAAGTTCATGGCGTACTGGTATCCATTGTAGACCGTTCGACTGGCCTCCATGGCGCTATGCATCAGCGTGATCTTCGTGAGTATGATGGGTGCGAATCCGGCTACAACGGGCAAGTGCTGCGCCACTTTCGGCGGCAGTGGAAGCATGGCCACCAGAATTGGACTAGCGAATATGATGGGCATTGATTTCTGGAGCATCTCGAACCTTGGACCCAGATGGATGTAGGCAAACAGCATGCCCATGAACCACTGGGCCATCAGATGAGGCGCCAGCGACATGACCACCCCGCCCGAATCCAGTAATCTCGTGGTGTTCAGCGACATCAGATCCTCCAGTATGCTGGGACTCCGCTCCATCAGGGCCAGGGCACTGACATTGGACCAGTAGGAGAGGAAGGTGAGGCCCAGCGAGGTGAGGAACATGTAGACCATCACCAGGTGGCGGGTCCACAACATGAAGATGCAAGCGGCGGACAGGAAACCTGCAAAACCACGAAGATAATGAGTCAAGTATTTACGTTTTATTGGCGTCCAAAGTGCGCCCGATAAGCGGCCCTTGGAATTCTAGACAGTTTCGTCAGTAGGTCGAAAACAACGAACTTCCAATAATTTATTTGTTTACGTTTCGGGTTCGAGCTTACTGAAGGGAAATTATTCAATTATATGAAATTAATTATAATTAGTTGCATTTAATTTAGCTCTGCAAAAACTTTTTAAAAATCACAATGATAATTCTAAATGATAATTGAAAACTTTATGATAATTTGTTATCTCCTGTGGTGTGCTATCAACTTTTCCAACTTTAATTATTTTAATCGCTTAATTTGCTAAAAATACTCTAAAATTTTCGTAGCTAACGATGACTTAGTAACATTTTTCATAGTAAGGGCTAATTATAAAACATTTTCAATCAAATTTCGATCTGTAGTCTCTATAAAAGATAAACTAAATGTATACTTTCTACTTTGACATACTGAAATCGATGATGAAATAAAGTCGTTATTGTACATGGACTGGGCTTTTGATACTATGACGTGTATGTAACCTTTTTGGCAATAATTTTGGAACGGAGAAACTTTTATCATCTCTAGAAACATGAAGAAAATAAGTAAATTCCAGATCTTGAAAAGTATATCCCAGAAATGCGAGTTTAAAAAGTCCTAAACGGACTAGTAAGATTATATTTGTTCTTGGCTCACTCGAACTCACCAAACAGGCAGATGACGAACTTGACCGTGGTGAGGCTGAGGACTTCTGCCAGTGTTTGGTCATGGGACAGTTCGTCCATTAGGGTATTAAATCCGGAGCTGAGCATTCCATGAGTTTTAGCGGTTTTGGAGGCGTTATCGATACTCTGTTCGAGGGCAGACTGGACTGATCCAGAGGCGGATGTACTCATTTGGCCAAAGAACTCCTTGATGCTGGCGAAGGGATCTGGGTTGGGTGATGTACCTGGTGGGGGTTCCGTTGGCGGGGTATCGTTGGCAACTGTTTCTGGGCCACCCTTATCCGGATAGAGCCGCGTAGGCAGGCCCATGCCGATCTTTAAGATCTCATCAATGACCATCACCGGTGGAACGCGCATCATCACGTCCACCAGGCCCAGAACCTTTGTCCTCACGGACATGGTGGTATGTTTTTCCTCGTCTTCGACAGCTGTGATCTAGATCGGCTATAGTTTGCTGATCCCGCGTGAGTCGGCACTTATCGTGAACCAATCAAGCTCCAATCTGCATTTGTTGTGGATTTAGCCTTCGTCTTGGATTTCGCAAAAGTAAAAAAAAAAAGGGGAGAATGACGATTTGCGTTCGTGTGTGTGTCTCTGTGTGGGTTAGTTTGTAAACCGCAGAAAAAGCCTAGTTTTTAAAGGTAGGTTTCGTTTCGTTTAGTTTCGGCAGGTGCGTCGTTGTGTCCTCCGTTTTCTCTACACAATTTCCTTCGATTTAAACTTTACACTTTTCCTTTTCACAATTGGTTTTTGTTTTTCTCCTCTGCTTCTCCTCCTCCTTCTTCGACCCAGCTATCGATTGGCCCTGCTGTTTATCGGTGCCGCCAGTGTTGTCTAACGGCTTTCCCGTCTGGCTATCGATATCGATAGGCCTGGCCAGCTGTTCCCTTGGCGCTTTGTGGGCTTGCTGCTTGAATTTCCACTGGCATTCAAAGACTAAGATGGCGCGATAGAGCGTGTCGGTCTGGAGAACTAGAAATTTTGGTAATTTTACTTAAAACTAATTTCGAAAAGGTCTGGCATAGCCTTCTGATTGATAAGTTTACCATATTAAAATCAACTTTCACACTTCCAACTTAGGTTTTGGATAGCCTGGATTTTATCCGAATGTTAGTTTACAGAAATGTTAAAAAGTCGCAATGCCTACTGCTGCTGCAAGACTTATCGATAGGTAGTGTCTATGTTAAATTGGCGCGCTGTCTACGGAATTTAAATTTAATCAACGGCCATGGGATTGGGAATAGATAAATATACTTTAAAATGATGTATTATAAACATCATATGTTTGTAAGGGAAATTTATTTCTGTTTTTTAAATTTTAATTTACTAAAATATTTTCAAAACGCCTAAAGAAAAAGCAGATACATCGTTTCATATTAACATCTTAAGAATTTTTCTAAGCTTACAAGTTTTATGGAAATATGTAAATTAAATAGTGCGTTTTGCAGGAATTCATTTCCGTTTCTCATACTTTTTGAAACGACCGCAGTTCCTAGTTCTGAAAACGATTTCCGGTTAAACAATTCCTACATTCCTTCGAATGTGCCCAATTCTAATCCCCCCAAGTCATTTACGTGAATTTCCTCAATTGTTCGGCCATTAACTTTTGCCATTTGGAACCTTAATTGTTGTTCTTTCTTGTTTGTGGCACAAAACCACTGGAAAATGCCCCCATCCCTTCTCTTATGCAAATGCACAAATTGAGGCAACGGCAATGCAGTCCGCAGTTCGGTTTCGTTTTGGTTTCGTCCCCAACGCAACGCTCGTAATTATGCGCAATTGTTTAGCGTTTAGCTCAGAAAGTTCAACTAACATAATTGATTTTTCATGCCGCGCCACAAGAATTTTAAACAAACTGCACAGGTCATAACAAACTGCCAAGTCGCCGAGTGCATGCTTGTAGATTTTTTCGAGTTGAGGGTTTTAAGGGGACTAAATTTTACGCTAAAAGTTGATTTTAAAAATTATAATTTTGATTTTAAAACTATTTTTTAATAGAATTAAATGTTATACGATAAACTAACATGTATAAAATTAACCACAAATTTAATATTTTCAAATATTTTTTGATGTTCTAACAAAGTGCGTAAAATCCTTTAGATTTGTATTACTTAAAAATTGTTCCTTATTATTATTTATAATAATTATAAATAAAATATTGTATAGATTAGAGTGTTCAAAGTGCACTCTTGTTATCCCCCTTTGCAAACCCCTCCTACTAAACCTTATTTTAGGCCCTGCTAATTTGCATGTTTTTCCAGAGTTTTCGGCGGGCAATTCGTGTTGCATACTTCAAGGGGCAGCAAATTGCACAAAAAAAATCACTCGAAGGCGATTTTAACTTTTATTTTTCAGGAGGAACAGGCAAACAGTTAACACTCCCAGAGGCATTGGGCTCCCAATATGGATCTCATATATTTAATGTAATCAGTGTAATTGTCATTGCGATGAGCCGGGGGAATCAGGACCCGGGTCCTCCATATATACTCGCACAATATGGAGCCCAATCCGATCCAAGCCGATCCTCTCTCTTTGCGGTCTCACGCATGGCAATTGTATAATTTATCGCTCCAGTTCTAATCGGCAGCTGTCAGGAGGATAGCTGACCAGGCTGGCCGATCTCGGGGGAACGATTTAATTCGCTGGCCATATAAGTCGGAAATTTGTACGTTGATTAACGCGCCAATCGTTTTACACAACAACGTACAAAGTGTCGATGGTCTCCATGTCTCCATGCCCCCATGCCCACTTCGCCACGATTTTGCCACTATTTTGCCCACTTTTTCAACGGCTCCAATCGCAGTTTCATTTTGCCCGTCTATGTGTGATTTCATTACACTTGCAGCTACACAGAGGGAACAGTTTGATTATTTGTTTGATTACTTATCATAAATTTATCTAAAAAATCTATGGTAATAATAGTCAGCAATAATAATATAATGAACAAAAACTTTGTTACCTTAAAGATCCATACAGTTTTTTAATAGCAACTCAAATCTTAGCTAGACTATATATCTTTAAGCTCATTGATTTTTCTATGTGCATCCAAGTGGCCAGGAACAGGACCTAAAGGCGATCATGTGAACCAAGTGCAATGCGTTCCCAGCGTGATTACCACTCGCAGATAATATATAGAAATAGACAGCTGGAAACCTGCTGGGACGCCAAATGAATTAGCTGCCATTAAAACCGCCGATGGAGCTTTTTAAGATCAAGGGTAACGAATGAAGAATACCTGATAAAAGTTTAATTAAATATGTTTGAAAAGCTTAAGATATATTAGTATATTTCATACTTTTGTTATTTTTAGGTAAGCTTAACTTTCGATATTTACTTTGATTTTATTTTATAAATGAAAGAAATCCTAAAAATATACCCACTATAATATTTCAAAGGGTATTAGAAGTCGTCGAAAGGCAACTTAATTTAATAGATAAAATCACATAAATGATAGTTAAATACTAACCAAAAACACTGAAATAAAATAATTGAATATTAACAAATAATTACTGCTAATAATTTTATATCTTTGAGAAACTTTTTTGTTTATTCCCAAGAGAAGTTAAGTGAAAAAGTGAATGTTTGCTTAATCAGATTTATCAGAATAAAATATTAATTCCACAGTTTAATATATAAACCTTCCTTTACAAATCAAAAGTAACATATTTCCAGCTAATGCCTTCATATTTTGTATAACCCAAAGAATATGTCAACGGATTATCTTTGGCTTATCCCTTGCCTTGTTTTTCCCTTTGATTTAATTGGATGCCACTTGGCCACTGCAGAAGGACTCCATCAGATTTTTGAGTTTGTCATAATTGCCTCCACACAGAACCCTTCTCGTTTGTTATATTGAAATGGCTTTTGGGCCAAAAGTCCAGTTGTTGGTAGCAGCAGCAGCAGCAGCACAAGCAGAGCCCAAAAGCGACGGCCCAATTATCTTTTGCATTCGGCGAATAATTAGGAGCTTGATTGACATGCGGATAAGGAGACATACACTTGGAATGCCATAGCAAATTATCGAACGGCTACTGTGCTGCTCCTGATCCACAAAAATCAAAGGCCGTAACGACAGCGACATGGAGGATGGAAGTTAGTAGCTCGAGAAGGAGAAGGAGGAGCAGGCGGTGAGGATCGGGATGCGGATCGGGATGCCGTTGAGGACGACAACGACGCCTTCCATTTATTGGCTGATGCTGATGCTGATGATGCTGCGCCTTTGTCTGCACATAGAGTGGTAATCTGATGCTGGGACGATACAGAAGCCACTCCAAAACAATGACCAGACTGCCGGACCAGGCCGTTGGATGGAAACCCGTTTGTGGCATCGCAGCAATTACAATATGTTTAACTACGTCAGCGCCTTATCTGAGGCTCCAAGGACCTGCACATGGAGAAATAATGTGCCATAATAAGTTAAGTGATTTTATAATAAATTTAACTTTAAAAGAACAAAAAACAACTTACTTTTGTAAAGCAAACTACTTGATTTTACTTAATTTATTCAATTTACTACTTAAATTTGAAAGAACTTCCGATTTCTCTTCCTGTGAGCTTGGACATTTTGGGACCCGCTCCCTCGGCCATCGAGAATTTTCCCCCGGCCATGTCAGCGATTAATCCAGCCGACTGGGTGCCCCATCAAACCGCTTGTTAGCCTGGATTCGGGCTCGGAATGGACCTGGGAGCCGCCTCATCATCGATTGCGTTATCGATGGCGTTGCCGGCTTTAGCCTCCGCTTTTGGGACTCCAACTGGCCCGGAATCTCATTTGCGATTAAGTTCTTATGGCCACTGTGCGCATTTCGTGGAAAGTTGGCCAGCAGATCTTTATTGTTCGATTGGTTTATTTATAATAATTAGGTGCGCTGTCCCAGCGACTTTGTTTTGCCTGCACGAAGAGCTCCTTTTGCGGTCTTCGATTTTTCTTCTCTCGTTTTATTTTTTATTTTATTTTATTTATTTTTCCTGGCTTATCGACCGCTGGCTGGCCCATAAATTCTTTAAGCTCGCACCTTTTTATTGTGCGCATTCACACACGCTGCTATTTTCTGGTGGCTTCCTTCGGCGCAGATTGCAATCGGCGGCTGCGGCTGCGCATGCGCGAGGAGCACAGAAAATCCACAGAGAAGTAAAACCAAAGACTACAGAAAGCTGCAGAGGAGCAGCGGGAGCGGGAACAGAACCTGCACCACCGGGTGGAGCGCGTTCCTTTGGTAAATTGCTCACATTAGCAGGTTGTACGACTTATTAAGTAAGCACAATTTGCGTGGCCGCCGCCCAAAAAAAAAAAAAAAAACAGCAGGGTAAAAAAAAACAAAACAAGGAGCATCCGATACTGGATACTGGAAATAATGGGCAGCCGTTAAAGGTGGCGACCAGGAGCCGCCTATCCCGACAAGTGATTGTTTTATAATTGCAATCGCAATTGCAGCTTGCAGTTCGCAGTTCGATCCGCTAAATTGGCCCCGAGGTATCGTATGGTATCGTATGGCATCGCAAGGCATCGTATGGCATCCTATCCACTGTTGTTGTGGGCTGGTCGGCGAAATTGGCAATCCATTTGAATGAATAATTGCTCAATTACGAGCTGAGCCACCGCCGAAGCGCCTAACGAGTCACACTTGCTGGGCGGAAAATTGTTTTCGAAATTTGTCTGGCCGCCGCGGTCAGCATGGGTGCAGGTAAAACTTAATTGGAGCAGGCTGGGAAAAATTGTGGGCTTAACTGGAGGCATTAGTTGGGGTGTCTAAGGGGTTTTCTTAAGATATACCAGTATAGAAGATCATCTAGTAAACTTTTAATAAGGAAAACAATTCTTAAATAAAGAAACAAAAAGAAAAGAAGATGAGTTTTCAGTGTTATCTCTGTTTTCTGTAAATTAAACAAGCTTATTAAACCAACAGTTTATATAAGAGTTAGTATTACTATAAACCATATTGCTAATAAAAACTAAAACTACTAATT